GTGTAAAAAAAAAGAAAGAATCTTTTTTAAAAAAATATAGTTTAAATTTCCATTTATTCTCATCGTACTATTATAGGAATGTTAAGTGCTGCTGCCTCGATTGGTTTGGTTACATTATGGGATGTAGACGCTGGGTTAGTATGTATTGATAAATATTTATATTCTAAAGAAGACTATATTAAGGTATAATAAAAATCCTTTTTACTTGTAAAATGATCAAAGTCTACTTTTTTATTATTAAATTTATTGACTAATATATGAATAAATCTAGGCAGGTGCTCTTCTTGCAATAGGATTATTTAATACAGGAGTACGTAATGAAAATGATCCTGCATTTGCATTACTTTCTGAACACATCGAGTCTTCAAATCTAAACATGAGAATATGTGCCATTGTTGGGTAAGTATTGTATTCAATATTGTTTATTTTTGATCAAATTTTAAATTTTACTAACATTAGTTCAATCATTAATAAAGTCTTGGAATGGCGTACGCCGGCTCACATCGGGAAGATATTCAAGATATTTTATTACCTTTAGTTAGTGACACTAATCTAAGCATGGAAATAGCATCAGTGGCAGCTTTGTCTCTAGGGTTGATATTTGTTGGAAATTGTAATGGTGATATTACAAGCACAATATTGCAAACTATGATGGAACGAGAAGATTCTCAATTGAAAGAAATATGGGGCAGGTTTATGGGACTTGGTTTAGCTCTTTTATATCTTGGTATTTATTTTAATGTATTTTATTCCAACAAGTTTTATCAATTATCTTATATGGTAGTAAAAATCCTATATTCTCTTTTTATATATTAACTTATTCGTAGGAAAACAAGATGCAGCAGAAGTAACATTAGAAACTTTAAAGGCAATCGAACATCCTATCAGTAAACAAGTGGAAGTTCTTGTAGAAATTTGCTCATATGCAGGTGTATATATATATATATAATTCATAAAATAATGGTGATTATATGTTTAAAATAAAAGTTATTTTAACAATGTAAAACTTTGCTTTAGGAACTGGAAATGTACTTAAAGTGCAAAATATGATGCATATTTGCGATGATCATTTAGATAAAGAGAAAGATGAGGATTTACATCAAGCATTTGCAGTTTTAGGTGTAGCTTTGATTGCCATGGGTGAAGATATTGGCGCAGAGATGGCATTAAGAATGTTCAACCATCTGGTATGTCATGCATGATTGTAACTATAAAAACACATTTAAAAAAATTTTTAACGTACTTGTTTAAAATAGATGCATTATGGAGAGCCAGTAATTCGTCGCACGGTTCCCCTTGCCTTGGGTTTACTTTGTGCCTCAAATCCTCTTCTAAATGTCCTAGAGACATTAAGTAAATATTCACATGACAATGATGCAGATGTTGCCATAAATGCAATATTTGCTATGGGACTTGTTGGAGCTGGAACAAATAATGCACGATTAGCACAAATGTTGAGGCAACTCGCATCTTATTATCATAAAGATGCTAATTGTTTATTTATGGTCAGAATAGCACAGGTAAAATATTCTTGGATTTATTATTTATTATTTTGTATCTATTGCAATGTTAAAGGAAGTTAATTATTTATTGAATTGATTTGTTTTAGGGTCTATTACATATGGGTAAAGGAACCATATCAATAAACTCGTTTCACTCTGACAGACAATTATTGTCACCTGTAGCAATAGCCGGAGTTTTAATAACTTTAATTGCTTTTACAGACACTAAAACGCGTAATTTATTTATTATTACTATAATTATTGTGTGAAAAGTTTTACTATTAAGATAATTAATAAAACTAATTTATTAATTTACAGTCATACTGGGCAAATATCATTGGTTTTTGTATTATTTGGCAACAGCAATGTATCCTAGATTCTTAATTACACTTGATGAAAATTTAAATAGCTTACCTGTCACAGTTCGTGTAGGACAGGTAATATTTATTAATCATGTATTTAAGTAATATATCTATATGTTAAATTTTTTTTTTAATTCCAAAAATTATAAAGGCAGTTGATGTTGTGGGACAGGCCGGTAGACCCAAAACGATTACGGGCTTTCAAACACATTCAACACCAGTGTTATTGGCACATTCCGAACGTGCAGAACTAGCAACAGAAGAATGTATCCTTTATTATTTTTGTTGCGAAGATGTTAATTTTGTTTGTTATAATTATCATAATATTATCACCTTAACTCAAAAAAAATCTTTAGATATATCATTATCTCATATTCTTGAAGGTTTTGTTTTGCTTTGCAAAAATCCAGATTTTATGGAAGAAGATAAAGAATAAATATTTCCTTTGATAAATAAATTTGTATAATAATATTAAATAATAAAATTATTTAATGATTACATTGATTACATTAAGCATTTATAAAGTGTCCATGTTCAAGATTAAAAATTTTCGCGTCAAAAAATTTATCTAGAAATTTCTGAAGATCATCAGCACTACCAATAATAATCGCGTATTTCTTCTGGATAGTCTTAGTTTTCCAGCTTTTGCAAAAAAAAAAATTTTTTCAGAAAAAAAAATTTTAAATCTTATTTTATTTATAATAATTCTATTAAAAGTTATAATGAAGAATGTTTGGGATCTTGAAGAAGTAGTTACTACGCCCAATTCAGCTCTTAGGTTACATTCCAAAATTATAAAGCAGATAGCACAATTCTTAGAGTCACAACTAGATCGATACAACTTATGTTTAGTTAACAAGACATGGTCACCAGTAGCTAAGAGTGTGTTGTGGTCAGAGCCAAATTTCAAGACGCCGGATTCTCTTCGCTTTTTTCTACGAGCAGTTAAAGAATCAAGACAATGCGCTTTAAGAGTTCAATCTCTTAATCTATGTGCACCAGAGGAAAATATCACTAGTGACATTTTCCTACCTGTATTAAATTCCGAGCGACAAGAGCATAAAATAATGTCAACCTATGTCATATCAAGACCAAATTTCATATTAAATCTTGTAAAGATATGTGAAAATGTACAAAAAATTAAAGTTTATGGATGGAATTTATCTGATAATCATCTACAATCATTATCACAAAATTGTCCAAAACTCAAGGAAATTTTAGTGATTGGCTGTAATACTAATATCAATAATGGTAATGATGTTAATAACAATAACAATAATCAAAATCAGGATCAGAATCAGACTCAACTGATAACTCACAAGGCATTCTATTCATCGATAAATTATATGCATGATCTTTGTGTGTTGGATTTAGATGGTGATTTTAATTTGTCTGATGGCTTTGCAGAAATACTACCAACCAGATGTCCAATGCTTGCTTCACTTAAACTTTCGACTAAATCAATGACGGAAAAAGGATTTGATTCACTAGCAAAAAAATTTACTAAACTTACTAACCTAATATTACAAAATTGTCCTCATCTTATCGATGAAAACATTGAAAGTTTTGTTAAAAAAAATCCTAAACTACAAAAACTTCAATTATTAAGTAAAGGCCTTACCATCAAAACATTTCAAGTGGTGATATATTATGCAAAGGAACTAGTATATTTTGATTTTAGGTGCTTACAAGAAGAAATTAGTATTTTACCAAACGAGATGCAATGGTTAAGGCCAGTTTGTCATAATTTGGATACACTTATACTTGAAAATTTACCAATTGATGACCATATAATTTCAACTATCGTTATACATTGTAAAAAAATGAAAAATATTGGACTTTCAAAATGTTCATATATAACTGATGATTCGATCAATAGCATCGCATCTAATCAAAAAAACCTTTGTTTGATAAATTTAGTTGAGTGTAGGAACATTACAGATCTCTCTCTTAAATATTTAGGTGGTGGTGGAAATCAAACTAGTAATAATAATAATAGTAGTAGTCATTCAATTGCACATGTTATTATAGATTCATGTGGTTCATTTGCACCAGAAGCTATACATTGGTTTGTCAATGTTTCACCAAAACTCGAAAAAATAATTTTGCATGGGATGCCATCAATCATCAATTCTTTTATCTATCAATTTTCTGCAGAATATCAACAAAAAAAGCAACAAAATGGAATATATAATTCGATTGACGCTAAAGCAAAATGCACTGTTGAAAAAGAGAATATAAAAAAATTGGCAAAATTCCAATTGAAACATTTCAATGGCAATTCTATAGCTCATTATGACAATGATGATGACAATAATAGTATTGATGATGACGATGACGACGATGACAAAATTTTATTATTAAAATTTTCAAAAGATAAGCTCATTAAATTGTCGTTAGAATTGGGTTTACCTACAAATGTTATTGATCGTGCCTTTAAAAAAGTATTTTCTGAAACTAACAATTATCAAGACATTTCAACCAATAAAAATAGAAATAACAATAACAAAAATGATAAATTGCGGAATGGTGAAAATTTACAAAAAATATCAGATACAAAACACACTTTTATCACCACCGCCACTGCAACCGCAACCACATCTTCAATTTCTGCATCAGCGCAACATCGACATGATTCGTGGACTACAGTTATTAAAAAAACACGAAGTTGTTGGTCATCGATTAATATAAAATTACCTAGTCTTCACTGTCCTCCACCTCCAAAACAATTACTAAATCCATCAACACCATCATCGTACTTTTTACCAATACCCAATAATGATAATAATAATATTCAAAAAGAGAAAAAAGGATACCGTAAAGAAGTCGCACAGAGTCGGTCAATTTATGATAATAATAATGATAATGATCATGCAGTAGAAGTGGGTAACGATAAGCAAGTAAATAATGAATTAAAATCAACAACAATAAAAGGATATAAATCGTCATGGAATAAACCTATTGGAGGTGAAGATGATTTAGGTGGATGGGCAGATTTTGGAATCCAGTCAAGACATGACGACTATAACAATAAAGATAAAGATGCCGTTGTTGTGGACTCCCATCAACAAAATATTTCCAAATTATTCATCTCGCCTGACTCCATTAACAATGATTGTGATGTTAATGATGATAAAGAAATATTAGTTGATATTGGTACTTGGGATAGTTTAACTACTGATACAACGAAGACCACATCTTCTTCTTCTTCTTCGTCATGGAGTAATCAAACTAAATTGTTAAATGATGTAAAAATCAATAAAAAAATCTCAGAACCAGGATCAGTAATAGATATGATTTGGGATTCCAGTGCAACTGAACAATCAAACTCTGACAATACAATTGAAGTCGAAGAGGAGGAGGAATCGATTAAAAAGAGTGTTTACTCTAAGAATAAAAATGAAACGATGACAGTTGCTAATAATAAAAAAGTTGTTATTGATGATGATGATGAAGGATGGGGAACACCACCTGAAAGTGCTATTGCATGGAATGATCCTCGACAAGGGTATTGTTTAGAAATGATCGAAAAACAGAATAAAACAAAATTTTGTGTTCAAAGAAAAAATGGAAGAGATGATAATGGCGATGATTATGATTATGATTATGATTATGATTATGATTACGGTTATGATTATGATTATGATTATGATTATGGTCGTAGTATTAATAGTAGTATTAGCGGTGGTGGTGGTGGTAATTCAATCAAGAAAGCGGCAACATATTTATCATCGTCGTCGTCGTCATCGTCATCGTCATCATTGAATAATAATAAAGATTATTCGACGTCAACTAAGCCAAGAAAACCCAATAATAATGGTAGCTTTCGAAAAGAAGAATTGAATAGAGGGACGAGAGGAGGAAGAGGGAAAAGAAGAGACGAAAGGAGGAAGATATAAAGCTAGCCATAAAAAAAATCATAATCAAAAGCGTGTATGCATTGATGATGAAATCCTAGATCCTAAAGATTATCCTGATGATGATGATGATGATGATAATGACAATAATGAATTTTGGAGAGAAAGAAAGAACCATTATTTATTATCTTTATCATTATCAACTGTAAAAGCAATAATGATTGTAGGCAAAGTAATCATCAAATGTCAAATACATGTTGTAATAATCTAAAAATATAATTAAAAAAATTAATGCGTAATTTTTTTTATTTAAAATAATTATGAACATTAAAAATAATTTAAATAAAACTTTTTTTGCATAATCAATATATAAATTTTTGTTAAAGCAACTTTGTATCATGCTTTTTTATTACACAACATGAGCTTATTACTGGTAGTCACGGGATTTATGAAGCAAAAACGGGAAATCTATTGCGGTTTTCTCTAACTATGTCTTGTATTTTAAATTCAGGGAGGCAAAACTACAAATTTTCAGTAAAGCGGCCTATTTATTTTCTTTGGCCACCGAAATTCAGGACCTTAGTTTAAGCAGAGTTTACCAAGATGATTCATGTTGAAAATTTACATCTTATTCATCCCCAACCTGTTATAATAACAATTGACTGTAAAAATTTCTTTTTGCAGTAATATTTGAATTATAATTGTTTAAAAGGCCAATCATTGCTGCATCACTAATACCGTAAGGACTCATTTTTGTATCCAGCTAGATTAACGTCCGGAAGTTTTTATTTTTGGAAAAAGAAGATGAAGAAGTTATGTCTTCTTCCATATGCTATTTGGTAAAAAGGGAATATGATTTATCAATTGTAGCTCATGACCCAAGGTCTAGTCTTTTTGCTCATTAATTGGATACAGTGATTCACTAATAGTTTGTTTCTAACACTATGGCATGTGATTGAAGTGCATATACATGTGATGGGAAATTCGCTTATTATTCATCACGTTACTATCATCATCACACACAATATTTAAAGTTTTTCTTTTATATTTAAATAACTGAGAAAGTTTTCATTCAGATGTTATTATACAATTAATGTTTTATATTTCTATTTTTTTTTTTCAAACGTTGTAAACACAATTGTAAATAATAACCAAATTTTTACACACGCATATATTATATTTATACATATTGATTGATAAGGGAAATTTTCAAAAAAAACAGTTCTTCATTTAATTAAATAAAATGTTCAACAGGGAAAAAGTTCAACGACAACATCAGAAAGAAGAAAGTTGTCATAAGGAAGCATGTGCAATCCAAGCCTGTCTTCAAAAAAAACAATTATCAAGAGTCAAAATGTCAAGAATCGATTAATCAATTGTATCAATGCTGTGAAAAATTATTGAAATCAGGTGGAGAATCAGCAAGTTGTTCAAAGAAGATAATGAAAAATAAGGATTTTTTGTAATAAATGGTATAAATATATATATATAAACAAACAACAAAAAAAATTTGTTTTTTTTATTTATTTTTGGATTACATAATAATTTTTTTAGAGGAGTGAAACACAAAAGGCAAGTT